TTATCAAGAAATCATCATAAACCAGATCATAATCCTCAGGGATGAATGCCATCAGCACTTGTCACATTGTGACTACAGTACTCGTTATTTTAAAAGGCACCATTGTCTTTAGATTGCCTTTGAAGTGTTAAATTATTACTAGATTGCTTTTAGTTTAGTATTTATAGAAATGTTCGCCACAAATAAAAATGCCTAACATTTTTTTTTGATCATTTAAGATGAGAAAGAAAAGAACACTGAACAGAAACTGAAAATACGCTATTATTTTCTCTGTGTTCATGGCATTAACCAAACAGTGTAACTATTATCAACAATAACAAGGACAAGATAAAAAAAATGCACACAATGAAGATAAGGTAGTTAAACATACTGTTGATGAAAGCATAACAAGAAAAAAAAAAGAATAAAAAGCAAGCAATACTAATACTGCAATACAATGTTTTCCAAAGGAAAAAAAAAAGTAGAATGAGCATGATTGTTTCAAATAATCTGATCATACTGAAAATTATGCTAATACACAAGTAAACTTGAACTAAGATATGCGCTAGTAAGAATGTGCAAAGTCTTCTTGGGAAGTTTGTATTTGCAAATGAAGAAGTTGTACTTACGATGTCTGGTGAGTTCAAATCACTTCGGCTGAGCAAGTTGATGTACCTTCTTTTCATTAATTACAAAAAATACAGATTTCTTGCACCCTTGACCAATAAAGAAAGCTGTTTGTTTTTGCGTTTTTATGTTTTAATCAATTTATGAAGCCACCATAAACAGAATCATTGTATAATCATAATTGTCCAGTCCTGTCATATTTTCTTTTTTTACATGCAACTTAAAAAAAGTTGCATGTAAGTTGCATGTAGGTGAAACTTGCCTTTTATGTAAGTTTCACCTACATAAAAGGCAAAGAAACAAATTTCACTCACATTGCAAATTAATGAATCAAATCTCCCTGACAGGCCCCTGACTCGGAAACTCAGAGCTCAAAGGAAATACGATCTTTCCAACATGACTTGAACGCATTATAAATCATGTTATCAGGCGAATACATTCTTTACAGCGCACTAAAGCATGGATAGTATTAAAGAAATTCACAACACTGTTATGAAAACCACAGCTTGTGAAATAACGCTATGAGTACACAATTTTAATACAAAGACGGTTTACACATGGTTTAAATTAATATATAAAATGTTTGAATATTTGTTTGAATTTCTTGCCTATTAAATGTCATATTCTTAAACTAAGCTTAATGAATATTAATGAATATTTATTGCTAAAAAAAAAAAATGTATATGCAAGACAAAAAAAACTTTCCACCAAACTGAAAACAAATCAGCATCAACCAACGTACTACACCAAAAAGGTGATTTCATACCTTTGAAATGAAAAGATTTCCTAAAGGTGTTACTTCGCCTTATTAATTTGTGTGGAAATACATTCTGTGGAAGGGACATTTGTAAACAGCCTGATGATATCATTAGAAGCCCAACAGAATGAGCGTTGGTCTGCACTGTAATTGAAAGATCTCCGTTCAGCACGCAATGATACCAATTCAAATAAAGGGTGGAGATTATTCTAGGTAGACAGAAATTTAATGATTAATTTCCTTTAGATTAGTTTCTCGTGATCATAATAATGGGTAAGAAAATGTGGCATTGTTGTGCAGAAACAGTGTACAACAGTGCTCCTGGTGGTACCCACAGTGTGAACTTTGAAATGATGTGTTCCTGTACCTCATTCCGTTCAGCACGCAATGATACCAATTCAAATAAAGGGTGGAGATTATTCTAGGTAGACAGAAATTGAATGATTAATTTTCTTTAGATTAGTTTCTCGCGATCATAATAATGGGTAAGAAAATGTGGCATTGTTGTGCAGAAACAGTGTACAACAGTGCTCCTGGTGGTACCCACAGTGTGAACTTTGAAATGATGTGTTCCTGTACCTCAGTTAGCTGCCAGGATACAAATGAGTCACCCAGCATCCCACGCCTGCATGCACATCCACCGTATAATAAAGCCATTTCACCCAGCATGAAAAAAAAGACCATTTTCAAGTTCAGTGATTGGGTTCATAAACTCTCTCATTGCCTAAAACACACACACACACACACACACACACGAGCGGGTGCGCGCAACAGTTCGCATATGCACAAGAGCACGGATGCAAACTTACACACTGTGGCATCAAGCCATGTCAATTTCTGACATATGTGACCCTGGACCAGTCTTAAGTCGCTGGGGTATTATAGTTGTAGCAATAGCCAAAAAAACATTGTAGGGGTCAAAATTATCGATTTTCCTTTTATGCCAAAAATTATTAGGATATTAAGTAAAGATCATGTTCCATGAAGATATTTAGTAAATTTCTTACCATAAATATATAAAAACGTAATTTTTGATTCGTAACATGCATTGCTAAGAACTTCATTTGGACAACTTTAAAGGCGATTTTCTCAGTATTTCGATCATGCACATCCACCGTATAATAAAGCCATTTCACCCAGCATGAAATAAAAGTCCATTTTCAAGTTCAGTGATTGGGTTCATAAACTCTCTCATTGCCTAAAACACACACACACACACACACACACACACACACACACGAGCGGGTGCGCGCAACAGTTCGCATATGCACAAGAGCACGGATGCAAACTTACACACTGTGACATCAAGCCATGTCAATTTCTGACATATGTGACCCTGGACCAGTCTTAAGTCGCTGGGGTATTATAGTTGTAGCAATAGCCAAAAAAACATTGTAGGGGTCAAAATTATCGATTTTTCTTTTATGCCAAAAATTATTAGGATATTAAGTAAAGATCATGTTCCATGAAGATATTTAGTAAATTTCTTACCATAAATATATAAAAACGTAATTTTTGATTCGTAACATGCATTGCTAAGAACTTCATTTGGACAACTTTAAAGGCGATTTTCTCAGTATTTCGATTTTTTTGCACCCTCAGATTCCAGATTTTCAAATAGTTGTATCTCGGCCAAATATTGTCCTATCCTAACAAACCATACATCAATGGAAAGCTTATGCATAAATCCCAGTTTCAAAAAATTTACCCTTATGACTCGTTTTGTGGTCCAGGGTCACATATACGAGTAGCTCAAATCTTTAGCCATGCAAAATAAACAATACTTACTAAATAAATTAAGCAACAAAACATATAATTCCACATTATGATATTACAAAAGTGCTTCACTTAATATTAAAGGAATAGTTCACCCAAAAATGAACATTTGCTGAAAATGAATCCTCAGACTATCCAAGATGTAGATGAGCTTGTATCTTCATCAGAACAGTTTTGGAGAAATTCAGCATCACTTGCTCACCAATGGATCCTATTCAGTGAATGGGTGCCGTCAGAATGAGAGTCCAAACAGCTGATAAAAACATCACAATAATCCACAAGACTCCAGTCCATCCGTTAATGTCTTGTGAAGCTGCGTGTTTGTAATAAACAAATCCATCAAGATGATTTTAACCATTGCTTTCAGCTAAAATACGAGTCCATAATATCGCTCCATAATATGCATAATATTGTTTTCTCCAGTGAAAACGTCTGGTCTGAATCAGGAGAGAAATATGCCCAAGCACTGTTTACAAATGAAAACCGTCCAGAAATATGTTCTAAACAAATATGTCTGTGGATTTTGATATGAGAGGACAACAGGGGATGCACTTTTTCATTGCAGGAAGCATTATTATGGATTATGGATTTTGGCCAGACTGCAGAGGATTCACTGCAGAGGATCCACTGGTGAGCAAGTGATTTAGAAAAATCTCTCCAAATCTGTTCTGATGAAGAAACAAATTCACCTACATATTGGATATCCTGAGGGTGAGTAAACCTTCAGGAAATTTTCATTTTTGGGTGAACTATTCCTTTAAAAGAATGAGAATTAAAAGCATAATGCCATCTGATTTTTGCAGCATTTAACCTGAAGGAACCCTGCTAGTCCACCCACTTCAATACATAATAAAGCTGCCAACTTCAACTATTACCCTGATTATAAGCTTATTTTTCTTCTATAAAGCATTTTCTATAAAATATGACTGCAATGTCATGTGCATCAAATGATTTGCTGGAATGATCTGGGCTGTAGTTTAACACCGCACAGGTAACTGTTCTCCCTCCAACACACGTCTTAATCAAAGTTTGCCTGCAGCTTTAACAAACGATTCAATGGCCGTTACATCTTACTTTGAATGTTATCCCCTTGCTATAACCTTTGTTGTAAATGATAACTTTGTACTTTCCTAAGACAAAATGAATAAGAAACAGATTATACAGAATGAATGTATGAATGTAGTCTTATCGTTAATACGCTGTAAATGCTGTAATTGTAGGAAACAATCAGCTCACCTGTAAAGTGAAAAAATTAGTCCTAAAAATCATAAAGTGTTGCCATAGACACTAATTAGCTTGCCAGGATGAATTGAATTTGACTAACAATGCATTGCTTAGAGGTTTCTCTCCTCATTTAAATAATGAAGAACAAACATGGTTAATTTGAGTTTGTTGGTTTGTTTTACATTAATACAGTTGTATGATTATTCCTTCCCACACTTTATTAAACGAAAAATAAAATCTGTCTTTTTGTGATGTAAATGTGATGCAAACAAGAATTCTGGCAAAGTTGTCCTTTTCACTGATTTGGTTTGACAATAAAACTCTACTAGTAACTGTTTCTTCTGCACCGTTTCACAAATACCTGAATAATGTGAGATTCAACAGCACCCTCTAGTGTGGGCCATGATGCTGCACATGAATTGTTGCTATGCTACAAAGGACAATAAAATGTTAGTGTACTCAAAGCTACAATGTCTGCTATTAACAATCATGTTACTTGAGCAATCTGACTTTCGTCTCCACAATCAAGGTGTCTGTCAAGCTAAAGAATGAATTGCATAACCTGACTTGACCTCAGATTTCCATGCACAATATTACAACACCAATGATATACAGATATACAGCTGTTTTTTTATTTGGAAATGTTTTTTATATCAAAAGCAAACCGCAGAATCTCTTTTAAGAAAAGATGACTGTAGACCAGCAAAAACCTTCACCAGTCTTGTGTACTTTAACAACTGCTAATGGAAAGATGAACTGAGGTCATGTGAAGGGAGAGTCCTGTCAATCTTCATACATTCTTTGAATGTTTATGACAACGAAATTATAGACGCTTACTTGACAGAAACCTGTTAATTTAAGTTATTCATATTAAATTACACAAAAGCAAGAATACCAACAGGGTAGCCACAGCGAATGTTACTATTTGGCAAAAATACACACTTTTTGTACTTTCTTTGATTCCTTTTGTCCTTTGCACATTTTGTGCCTCCTTTTGGCAATTTTATGCATAACTGATTATTTTACTTTACTAGTATTGATGAAGAGTCTCTTATGAATAAGCACTTACCTTGAACCTTACCTTGAAACTCATTCATGATGCTTAATCTGCCTACCTACTCTTTCTTGACATGAACACCTTTTTTTTTATTAGTGTTGCCGTTTACGCTGTTTGAGTTCAGCTTCCCTTTTGCCATCAGTTTTTTAATGTGGTCGTGCGGCCCCTTCCCCATCAAGGCTGAAGGGTAGCGGTAGGAGCCTCCAATGCGGTCCCACAGGGTGAAGTACTGCCCGTAGTTGTAGTCGAAGAAAAGGTGGTGATCTGTGTGGTGAGCTGAACCGTTGATGATTTGTTCCATCAGGCTGGGCACACGGTAGTCCCCGTCATGGATGGAGACGGTCCATATGTTGACGAACACGTACAGGACTAAGTACAGAACCTTGTGTAGGGGGAAGAGGAAGGGGTATATGTGGTATGGCAGGCCCTGAAGAAATCCGTCCACAGGGTGGAAAGCGTGGCTAGCAAATGGAGTGGGGATCTTCCACACATGATGTGGTTTGTGAAAATACTGTATATGAGGGAAAAGATAAAAAAAGCAAGTTAGATGGAGCTGAGAGAACTACACTTTTATTTGTAGCTGAAAGCATATTCAAAATTAGATCAAATATGTTGTATTTTCACCCATGCAGGTGTGTCTTTCTTACTATGTACCAATCATACAGATGGTGGATAAAATATTAAATTCACATTTTTTATAAAGATGGAAAAATATTAGTACATTTTTGACTTTTTATTCAATATAACAAAGTTAATTAGATGAATAGTGGTGAATTTAAAATCATTTCACTGCTCGGTATTAAGCTTCTGTTGTTATTTTTGCACCAGATACTGAGCAATTTTTAAAACAGCGCTGTAATAGTTAATTATGTATATATATATATAGTAAATGAAATAGATATAAAAAAAAATATTAATAAAACATATATAAAATTAAATATAAATATTATATGAAAAAATTCAACTTAAAAAATGTGACGAAAAGTTGAAGCACTAAAACAACAAAATAAAACCCGAAATAAAAGCATTAAAGCATTAAAAATGACAAAAGCACAGAAAATCACCAAAACAAACTAAAATGAAAATGTAAACTGAAAATATAAAAATAAAAGCTAATTCAAATGTTAATACCATCATAGTATATAAATAACACTAAAATAACACCGTTCTAAAATAAAAATGAGATTTTATTTCTTCTTTATATTCTTTACTTTCTCATCATTTTCAAAGCATGTTTTTTTTGGGGGGGGGTATTGTTTTAATTGGTTATTAAGTTTTTCCTGTGTCCTCAATATCACCCTATTAATATTTTGAAGTATTACTCTTTATTCCCATCCTATTCATTTTCTTGCCCATTACTGAAGCAATTAAATTGAATGAATAAACTATAAGTACCTAAGCTTGACCAGGGCATATTTACTAGGTCTTCTACATGCTTTAATAGAAAAACTACCTTAAATTACAACTCAAGTATATTCCTTTTGTTTAAAAAAAAACAAACAAACAAAACAAAACACTACATAACAGGAATTACTCATGTCTTTACCCATATGTCAATGCAAGGCAGTTCATATATATCTTAAATACCTTATAGATCAACTTGTGGTGAAGGAATCTGTGAATCCAGTAAATGCACATGTCAGTGAATAACAGGAAAGAGACCATGCTGAAAATCAGCCCTGACCATCCTGAAATACAAGCATAAATAGTATGAGATGGTTATGCCCATAGCAACACGATTATCTAAAGCACATCTGACAGGCTGCATTACTGGCACTTTACAAAATTAGGGCTGTCCGTTTGTTGCATCACTTTTAATGTTGCTCTTCTACCCTTCCTTAAAATTTGAAAGCCAGTTTTATCCACACATCCAGCTTTTTCCACTACCCAACCGATAAAGCAAAAGATCTTACCGAGGGGCGATTCATCGACCCTGTCGTACAGTTTGCTGTATCCTCTGACCTCAGCGAAAAACAATGCTACTGTTGGTACAATTAAATTGAATGAATAAACTATAAGTACCTAAGCTTGACCAGGGCATATTTACTAGGTCTTCTACATGCTTTAATAGAAAAACTACCTTAAATTACAACTCAAGTATATTCCTTTTGTTTAAAAAAAACAAACAAACAAAACAAAACACTACATAACAGGAATTACTCATGTCTTTACTCATATTTACCCATATGTCAATGCAAGGCAGTTCATATATATCTTAAATACCTTATAGATCAACTTGTGGTGAAGGAATCTGTGAATCCAGTAAATGCACATGTCAGTGAATAACAGGAAAGAGACCATGCTGAAAATCAGCCCTGACCATCCTGAAATACAAGCATAAATAGTATGAGATGGTTATGCCCATAGCAACACGATTATCTAAAGCACATCTGACAGGCTGCATTACTGGCACTTTACAAAATTAGGGCTGTCCGTTTGTTGCATCACTTTTAATGTTGCTCTTCTACCCTTCCTTAAAATTTGAAAGCCAGTTTTATCCACACATCCAGCTTTTTCCACTACCCAACCGATAAAGCAAAAGATCTTACCGAGGGGCGATTCATCGACCCTGTCGTACAGTTTGCTGTATCCTCTGACCTCAGCGAAAAACAATGCTACTGTTGGTAGGCTGATCCAGGGCAAAGACCACAAAGCATACTTAATTTCACGTTGCACCTGGTTCTTTGGAGAAAAATATAATAAATAGCATACACATATATTATATATATATATATATATACATAAATATACTCCTTTTAAAGACTGTAGGTTGCTAGATGCATAAACAAACCTCCAAAAATTGAGGGTGTTGCTTTAATTTGTGATCAAAAATGAAGAAGTAGCTCAAAGCACCCAGGCCTAGATATAAGACTGCAGCACCCAGGTTGGTGACCACCATCAAGCCAATGATCTGCCGCAGAGGCTCGTCCTCGGGCCATGATGAGGGATACACACAAGGAGTGAAGAAGTAATAATCTGCAACGTTGAGCACAAGGTCCATCTTTGACCCTAAGAGTTGGGCAGAAGTGTAATTAAATGTCTAAAATGTGAATGAAGTATCATAATTCCCTTGATCATCATTGCCATATTGTAACAAACACTAAAAATACAAGAAACACTCCAGTGCACTTTGCCCAATGTTGTAAATTATAACCAGTGTTGGGGGTAACGCATTACAAGTAACGCGAGTGTACTTTCCTAAAACAAAATGAATAAAAAACTGATTATACAGAATGAATGTATGAATGTAGTCTTATAGTTAATATGCTGTAATTGTAGGAAACAATCAGCTCACCTGTAAATGTGCTTTTGAAGACTCGCCAGAAGAGAAAATATGTGAGGTAACCTTAAAAGCCTCAGAGAGGCCGTCCTTCTGCGCCCACTGTAGAAACACAAACGGACGCAGCCAATAGCGGCTGACTTTCTCGCAGCGCGAGCCCGTTTCTTGACATCTCATTGGACAGATGCGCGATCTGGTCATGGCGTTAGTGATAGGGAGTTCAATTCCTTTCCGCGAATCGGTTCTTTCGAACGGGTCGTCTCGGAGAACCGGTTGAAAAACAGATTCAATGATTATTTGCCGTCGTTTTACAGTCTATGGTTTTTGCATTATCACGAGGCAAACATCTTGTTCTTAGTGACTTTCTCGATTGGTCTTTATTATTAAGAGTGCGTATTGTATTTTAATCTGTCCCAGTTCAGTTTGTTATAGCCGCGATTCAGCTCATAAAAAGTCGACTTGAAAATAAATATAATTTATATTTCCAATAAACAATGCTAAATTCATTTGCATCTATTTGTTGAAATGTTTTGCGCGTTTTAGGAAAAACATCTCTGCATAGAAGAACTGTTATACAGCCGTAAACATATTTCCGTTACGTTTTGCTCGTAACAATTCGTGAACGATTCAATTAGATGGGGTTTGTGAACCGGTTCAAAAGATTCAACGAAAAGGTCCGTTCATAAATTGCACTTCGCAATAAGACGTTACAGACAATTAAAGAAACATTGCAATTACTCCGTTTCATTAATCCAGGTACATCGGGCTGATTATGGTGTATTCAGAAATATAGCTGACACGATATGTAGGAGTTTTATTGCAGAAAAGGTTCTAAGAGTAGATGCCGTCATCAGAGAGCGACATAACAACAAACGGCAGCGCTGGGTAGAAGGCCGCGCGGGTCTGTATTGTTACTTTCACTATAAGATCATTTAAGAGCTTTCATGATAAGAGTACTTTTATGAAATCCACGCGCAACATAATTGACCATAGATAGATGCAGTGTTTCAAAGTAACGGTAGTTTGGTCTTTTGATTGTGTAGCAAAGTCTGATCATGGACAGTGAAGTTCAGAGAGATGGAAGAGTTCTCGATCTCACAGATGATGCCTGGAGAGAAGACAGACTGCCATATGAAGATGTCACAATCCCACTGGTAAAACTTCACATCTACAGTTTTGATTGTGCATTTCGAATTACGTACGTTACAATGTAACGTTATGTCCGTCGTTATCATAAGTAACCTTCGCAATGATGGCGGGTACTGTTAATACTTCAGTCAGCAGTGGAATGTGCACATCGCAATTTTTTTTTTTACTTCAATTTTTCATTTACATACGGTATAGAGAGATCGGCCACATATTTTATGGGTGGAAATATTTGAGCATTAATACTTTATATTTGTATTAATGAGATCATGTTTGCCATGATTGCTTATTAGCCCATTGTATGATTTAACTTTATTTCATACCTTTTTCTGACAGAGTGAACTTCCAGAATCAGAACAAGACAACGGCGGATCGACTGAGTCAGTCAAAGAGCAAGAGATGAAGTGGTCAGATCTCGCCCTGCAGAGTTTGCATGAAAACACCCCAAACGTTGGCACTTAGATGGGAAGATGCTCTGTCCTCCCCAGCCATGTATTATGATGATGGAAAGAACTCGACTCATTTCTGAACTACAACCTCAAATAATTGTGCCGCTGTGATTCATATATATATAAATGTTTAAAATGTAAAGTGCAGTATTCATTTAAATTGAGTTGTGTGCTAGTTGTTTAAATTATTGTTAGTACACCGCATTCTTACAATTCACACAATGTTCAAGGTTTCAAACTGGTTATCTAAAATACACAACACTTATAACGTCTGTATAGATGAGTTGCAACCTGTATGGGGTCCGTTTTTTTAAAGAAATGTATACTTTTATTCAGAATGGACGCATTAATTTGATCAAAAGTGACAGTAAAGACATTTTACTGTTACAAAAGATTTCTATTCCAAATAAACTATGTTCTTTGAACTTTCTATTCATCAAAGAACTTTAATGCTTCTGGTCTACCCTTCCTTAAAGTTTGAAAGCCAGTGATTTCCACACATCCAGCTTTTCTATATGTATAACCACAGCCCATTTGATAAGGCAAAGCATCTTACCGAGAGGCGATTCATCGACACACATCGACTGTAGAGTAATGGCTGCTGAAAGTTCAGCTTTGCCATCACATGAATAAATTACATTTTAAAATATAACAATAATAGTAATAATAACACATCCAGCTTTTCTATATGTATAACCACAGCCCATTTGATAAGGCAAAGCATCTTACCGAGAGGCGATTCATCGACACTAAAGACTGTAGAGTAATGGCTGCTGAAAGTTCAGCTTTGCCATCACATGAATAAATTACATTTTAAAATATAACAATAATAGTAATAATAAAGTTATTCACAATTGTGTCAAATAAATGCAAGCTTAGTGAACATGAGATTGCTTTCAAAAAATATAAAATGTTCCCTACCCAATTTTTTAACAGTTGTGTACATTAGACATATATACTGCAGTTGTATTAGAAACAAGAATTATACAAACTATAAAGATATTTTTTTTTGCTTGTGATATTTTATGCTAAAATGAAAATGTACTATGCTAAAATGAAATTAGTGACTTAAGCAAGTGTAAAATAGCTAATTGAATTAAATGCACAAGCAGTGAAGAATGGAATCAGTGAAGCATTCCTTCTTTCAGGCTAAGCTGAATTTTATTTGGGTTCAAAGGTGACAGAGGTGCTCCATTTGTTATCACAAATATATCTGAAACATGGCTAACTGTGAGCATATTATGTTTTAGTCATAACCAACACGTATGATACTTTCTTGGTATTACAAAAAGATGTGTTCAGCTAGGCGACTCCTTAGGCAGATGTGTAGAGGTTTGGGGGAATTTGACCAAATAGCTATGAATTTATAGTAAATGCTATCTTAATGGAGGTCTTTATTACAACAATCCATTTGGCAGCAAAATTAAATAAAATAACAGCAGCTGTAGGCCTATTATAGATTTAAGCTGAATAAGTATTTGTTTTAAAGAGCAATACTGGTATTGTTTAGCCTACTGGTTTGTTTGCTATACTAAAATATATTCCCCAGAAATGTGCATTAAAGGAGTAAATGTTATTTGAGGCTAAAATAAATCAGACTGCAGGTTCAGGCTTTAATGCTAAAGTTTTGGGTCAAATCCTCATGAGGAGAATGCAAGTATGGATATGCTGCATTAAAATTTCAGTTTGGTCCCATAAATAGAGGTTACATATGAATGCCTTTATTTTTTTCCCACGCTAGCCACCCAACCGTTTTTTTTTTCACAGTCTAAAACAAATAAAAACAAGAAAACAGCATATTAAATGTCAATCATAAAAATGCTGGCAAAATGAAAAGAAACTTCTTAAGACTTGGCAAAACACAAAAACAGATGTTATTAGGGGATCAACTACAAACATACAAATTATGCCATTGTGAGCTTGGGCTCATCTGAATACTCAAATTTTCAAGGCAACGTAATGCAATAATAATTACTGTCTGACAGACCGGTAACATGCAATGACTTCGCAAAGCAACAAAAATGGGTCCCCTAATCATAAACTCTCCTTTTAAATAACTAAAATATTGGTTTATCTCCACCTGACAGATTTGTTCTGAGGGCAATGTACATTGTACTAATTGCAAAAGCACAAATTGTTCAGTGTTATGAAATGAATGGACATTTTCAGGCAAGTGGTTCTCCTTACATAAAGTTTATGGACCTATGTGAAATTTAGTAATGCAGCTTGTTACAAAGATGTAAGTAAGGTGCTGGTCTAAGATCAGACAAGAGACATATTTTAATCACTAAATGTATTAAAAACTCCCTGTCAATAACACATTTCTCTGAAAGTGGGACGAGAAATGTGTCTTAGTCACTTCACATTGGCACTCTCACCTTCAGTCATTCTCCAATATCTTAATGAATACTTACGCCATCACAATCTGCATTCATTGTTCATCCCTCCAACAACTCATCCAAGCAGAATTCAGTCAAATCTTGTCAAGTTTTAAAATGAAGAAAGAAATCTAGTTGCTTGTGATTAACCCCTATCATATATAATAGTAATGGCACAGTTTGGACAAAATGAAAAATGCACATTTTGGGCCCCCAACCTGAAGGCAGAAAATTAAGAATTTCATGTACCACCTAGTTGTGTACACTGAGTGTAAAATGAAGGTAGGATGACTTAAACAGGGCTTCCCTTCCACTGTTACTGTAACATCCAGAAAGTACACTATACATATATATATATATATATCAAGGTACACAGAACTGTTCTGTAAAATGTTGATTACATGCATTTCTAAAATGCAAACCTTTACACTTCATTTATATCCACTCCCAGACCTTTTCAAAGTAATAAAACAGAACAAAAATAATCCCTTATATCCAGATATACATCTTCCAAGATATACATAACTCGTCTGGTTATGATTCATGTAACATTTGTCAATATCACAGAATATCTACAGTATATAACAAGTTATATCTCCACGTCACAATGTTTCAACAACTGATGAAATTATGGTACATTCAGTTCAGTAAAAAGTCTTACATTTCTTTGTACATAAAAAAAGAAAAGGAAACCGAATGTAAACAGTCAGAAGGCAGTCCACTGTCCCGCAGAGGCTGTTAAAACTTCAAATGAATTACAATTGACACCTACAATAATGTTTCAAATTTATCTGGTTTGTCATTAAATGTCTGTTTACTCCGCATTAATCTCTGTCTCTGGCCTCTGCACTGAAAGCTCAGCTTGTAAGAAGGCGCCCTGTCCCAAGGCAGTGGAGTATGCGCAATTACTATGTGGAGTTGAGAAACCAGGGCTGTGATAGGAGCTGGAACCACCTCGATTTGATAGTGATGTTTGGGACTGAGGTACTGGATGGTAGTCATCCAGGTTGTCATAGTGTGACTGTAAAGTAATGGCACTTTGTCTTTGCCCCTGTGACTGATAAGAGTAGGATCCACTATGGTCTCTATCTGAATTGTCTGGTAGATGTGCAGGAAGACTGGACTGGTTGTAATGCTGCCGCTCTCTAACGCTGTGAGATCTCTCTGGCTTGGGTGGAGGAGCTGGTTTCACTGGAGCTGCTTGTTCATCTTCACTGGCGCTGCTAGTGGCTTTAACCCTGCATATGTGGCGATCCAAATCTGACATTTCGTAACGAGGTTGGGCACTCCTGCTCTCTGAGTGTTCCTGCCAGTGTTTACTGCTCAGTTGCTTTTCCCCTGGTTCAAACTTCGGGTCAAGATGGCCACCTTCAGGTAAGTGCTGCAGGCTTCGTGGAGGAAGTTGCGATTGATGTGAATGGATGGACGAGTAGGTCCTGGAGCTGCCTTGTTTGGTGGTTTTGTCCCCCATCCCATTTCCTTGGCAGTGCTTCTCTGTTTCCATATACATCAGGACATCTGGATCAGAGATCAAGTGCCTGGGAGCATGCTGAGATCCAGATACAATATTATATTTGGCCTCCTTGCTCTCGGTAGCCATCAACACAGTTTTGCCAGGATCTGATTTGCTCCGCAAGTGTAACATGTCTATATCCACTGGCATGTAGGGTCCTATGTTGTCATACTGAGACATAACAGAACCCTTAACTTTTTGCCTTGCTCGGCTTTCCCTGCGGATAGAATGTACGCGAAGCCTTTCTGCTTCTTCTGGATCCCACGCAAAGTAAACACTCCCTTTTAAACCACTGTAAGGTGGCATGTCTCTGCTTACGAAGCTATGCTCCTTTAAAGGAATGAAATGCCGTGAAAGGTAGTGGTAGCCTCCGGATTTGGCTCCAGTCCGAAGGAGAGGGGCACTGTCCCGACCGCTGAAGGAATGGACATGCCGTAAGCGGATCGTACCGTAATGGTCCACATCATAGAAAGGGGCATCCAGAATGTGAGAGCCAGAGTAGGGGCTGTAGCGGTACTGGACTCTTCCATTCTCAAAATAAGGCTGCAGTTGTGTGACGTGGTAGTCAGCTTGAGAGGGTGGTTGGTGAGACTTGCAGTGGTAGACTGGGCGCTGGTAGTAAAATAACTCATCATCTGGTGGAACCTCGGTTCTTGTGACTGGCATTGAGCGGATGGTGGTGGGAGGCACATGTAGGGAGTGGACTCTACGGATTGTTGGGTACACAGTAGGTCCATCTACTTGGCTGTAGCCATGGGAGTGGTGCAGTGAGCTTGGAGAAATGTATTCACTTCTCAGTGGGCCACGAGATTTGATAGACTGGTGGTAGGACCTAGGTCCAATCGTATTGTATCGGCCATCACCGTGGCCTCTATAGGAAATCTGTGGCTCTGATTTTGACACATAAGAAAGGTGTGGTGGAACACTCTCTGGTCTGTAATGGTATGCCATCGTAGCCTGACCTGAAGGGGATACCCGCTGATGGTAATACACTTCTGTGGTGGGCTCCAGTAGGGCAGCATCCCCTTTTGAGGGGCAAATGTAACCTGTCTGATGAGTGGAAGCCCTGCGATGAGGTGGATGAGACTGTGGGGGAGTCTCCTCCACTGAGCCTCTCATGGATGTTTCTAATATGGCATGAAAGTTGGCAGGGTTTGCAGCCTCAGTGTTGCAGAGAGCAGCCATTGCTAATTTACTTTCAATAGAACGAACTGGGGGCGTTGGCGGCATCACTCCCTGAGTATGGTGTGGAGGAGCACTATCTGCTTTTGGATGGACAGGCTTAATGGCTTCCCATGGTTTTTCCACAGGATCAAGAGGTGCTGCGGGGGTTGGTGCAACTCTAGCATTGGGCTGCGATTTGGGCTGAAACTGAGGTTGTGCTTGTGACTGAGAATGAGGCTGAACTTGAGGTTGAGACCGAATCGCTGCATTAGGTTGAGTCTGTATTTGTGGCTGAGGCTGGAGAATTGCGACTGGTTGATCTGGCGTCTTTGTGGGTTTTGGTGGCATAACCATTTCAGTCATATGGAACTAGGGATTAAGCCCAAACAAACACTGTTAGGTTTCTTACATATTTCCCTTTTTGTATTTACATGTGCTGTAATTTTAGCTATTGATATCAATATCAGATTAATGACTGAATAATTCTTGATACTAATTTTGATGCAATATGACAAAACTGAAATATCACACAACATGCAAAAAACATGTACTACTAACAAATTAAATTAAAACAATGGGAGCAAGCTTTTGATCTTACATACTTTCACACTAGCAGGCAAACAGCACTAATGCTTAACATGCTTTTCATTTTGAATTTACAATGGTGAAGGCCAGGCTCATGAATATTTATAAAATTATTTAATGTTCAGCCTTGGTACTGAAGTACTAGTGCTACTGACATCCCTGCATGTACCACTGCTTACCTCAGAGCTAGGTTGTTGAATGACAGTATCCTTGCTGCTGATAGATGGTGTGGTGATTGTGGTAGTGGTTTTGTCTGTGCTCACAGGTGTCTGGCCCACAGCTGGCTGCTGCCTTTCTGGGCTTTTTTGTGTTTGGGAAACTTGATAAGGTTGACTAGAAAGCATAGCACTCTGGCTTGGGGTCTCTGGTGAGACAACATCCTGGTTATTGCAAGAAATGCTGGATGGCTTCCCACAATCACCTGTGTTGAGGTGCAGACTGACGGAGCGAGTTAACTTTTCAGCTGGGGTGGAGGGTGGTGAAGACGTAGGAGCAGACCTCTTTGACACTTCTACTGTAGTTTCCTCCAAGAATGTCTGTGATGGCAAGGAAGGAGGAGGAGGCCAGTCCATGGTCTCCAGTAACCCTTGTGGCCTAATGGGGGACACTGGTGTAGGGGGTCCAGAGGATTGCCTCCGAGAAAGAATAGTGGCCTGCTGAGCAGATTCTGCTAAAGCTAGTGCAAGCATGCGGGCAGCGTTTTTTGGTGGGGGAGGGGGAGGTATGAGGGACACAGAGCTGACAGGGACATTGCCCTTTGGTGAGTCCAGAGCTACGGCTCCTACAGATGGACAAAACAGAGGGAACTCAAACAAGGAGAAGGCAGGCTAATATTCATGAGAAGGTAAGAAAGGGAAATGTTAAATTTCTACAGATTGTGGATAGATTTCTCTACATTGAGGCTGTTTGTGCAAAGCGCTACTGGTTAAAGCCTGGTGAACTAAACCTGAAAAATCAAATAATTATCTTATGAAACCCAGCATACCTTGGAGGTTCATATCACAGTGGCATCAGGGTTAATGATAGTATTTACATTAAAATAAAATAATAATTAAAAAAAATCTAGTATTTAAGTTCTTAATGTACTCTCTGTATTCATGTTTGTTTCAAATATTTTTGAAAAACTTAACCATCATTATAAAATATTTTATAAAATGATATCAGGACAGCTGTTTCACCCTAACACTTTGAATATTAATTTTAATACAGGAGATAAAAATATTCTCATCCTAGAAGAGGTGTATTAAACTAATTCAGGATAAAAATGTCAATGACTCCTCAAGAAACATTATGGATTTAAGCTATAATATCCCTGTGTTTCAGTTCAGCTTACCTGGCTGCTCTTGAGAACAGGTGACCTGTGGTGGCTGTGAACATTCAATGCTTGATATGTCTTTACTCTCTTTACTCTCAAATGTAGTAGCTTTAGAAAGAAGCTCTTGCTGAATGGCTTCACTCAGGGGCAGATCGGTGGTTCTTGACAGAAAGCTCAATTTTGCAGGAGAGTCGAGTGGAGATGGAGTGGAAGAGGGCTGGAGCACAGTGCTCTCTGGTGCTTTCCTTATCATGGAGGGAGCTGATTCAGAGACGCTTAGAGGAGTCACAACAGCTGACTTCTCACTGCTCTCAAGAGATTGAACTGGAGTTTTCTCTGAGAAAGATGCAGGGGGCAGTTTATTTCTATCCTTTAAGGCTGGACTGTGGTCTGGAGACACAGAATGACTTATAACTTTAGCTCTGACTGGCGAGACTGGCTCGGAGTCACTAGCACTGGCCAGGCTCCTCTTCAGACTGCTTTCATCTGTGTCCAGTGAGAAAATGGAAGTCTCTGCCAGAGGAAGGCTACACTGGAAAGACATGGGGTCAAAGTCTAAAGAGGCCATGCCAATGTCAGGAGGGCTCAAGTCCACATCATCAGCGGAACGTGGCGGGGAGATAAGAGCAGGCACACAGATTGGTCCATCATCCCCATCACTCTCCCCATGGCCCAGATTGTCATATGAGTTACAGTGTTGTCTGCTATCCAGTAGATCACCATTGAAGGAAGCAGAGAGAGCATCACTGCTGGAACGAGGTCTGCGTGGCCTGTACACCTTAGACTCTCCTATTAAAGGAAAAGCAAAAATTTTCGAATTTCACAATGGTTGGTTTACAACTTGAGGCTGAGGTTTTTTTTTCTTTTTTTTTTTTTTAGAGCTTTAGGAGTCTGTTACCTTCAACGTTATGTAAAGAGGTGAGAGACTCCTCACTTTTGGCAGACCGAAGAGTACTGGTGTCTCCTCTTCCTCCTGAGCAGGGAAAATAAAGCAGGAACAGAGAGGTTACAACAAACTGCTTATACATAACCAAACAGAGTTCTAGAATACTTGACACTGATTGGTCAATATGTGGTAAAATATTGTTGTTGTCTCTCGTAAATGCTCTGCAGTCTCTCTGCTCTCACATAATAAAATCATTTAAACTCAAATCATTATTTCATGTCCATTTATTTATATATTCAGTAAATAGCCATGTAATTAGCAGCGTAATTTACAATCAGCTGGTCATTACTGCTAAATAAACGTCTTCCACAAGATACAAGGCCTGATTAACCACTGGGTTTATTTTGTGATAATGACTATCTGACATTTAAAGATGACAAAATGGCACAACACTAACCAGCATATGCCATGGTCTTGAGTTCATTTGGTTCACTGGGATTGCGGTGTAGTTTTCGTTTAGACATCGAGGAAGACTTGCCCAAGTTGAAAAAAGACCGCCAACTGCCAACTGGAGACTTTTTAGACTTTATGGGCTGTCTTTTCCTAGAAAAAAAAAAGAAGATAAAATGTACAAAATATATCTCTTTGAGAATAACAGGCACATAATTGGTCTCTTTATAACAGCATTAAAGGGGTCATAGGATGCCCATTTTCCACAAGTTGATATGATTCTTTAGGGTCTTAATGAAAAGTCTGTAACATAGTTTGGTTAAAATTTCTCAATGATAGTGTAAAAAACCCTTTTTTACCCTGTCAAAAACAGCTCTTTTCAGATCAAGCCGTTTTTGTAGTATTTTCCTTTAAATGTTAATGAGCTTTGCTGACCCCGCCCCTCTCTTAGGTAAGTTAAGACACCAGTCCAGTCTGTGCTGAAACGTTACTGTCAATCAAACTATCATGGGAGGGGCCTGTCTGTGTGACGTCTCACAGACAGGCATCTGAGATTGGCTTGATGAAACAATGGTGAACTGGCTACTGTTAATCAAACTATAGTGGGAGGGGCCTGTCTGTGTGACGTCACACAGACAGGCATCTGAGATCGGCTCGATTTGAGAAAGGGGAAAACATTTAACCAGATTAAAAAAAAACTACGGGGTGGATTTTTATCATTATAGGGTGTTTGTGTACACACACTGCCAACACACATTTCAGTTCAAACAACTTGTAAAAGTGCATGTAGCATCCTATGACCCCTTTAAAAAATGACAACATTTTAAAGCTCGCTTTATACCTCTCAGTGGGGAATTCAATGACCGTGTGGAATTTTCCCTGTAAGGCTGCAGGACCCTCTCCCACCTCTATGTACTTGCTGTCTGCAGTGATGGGTGAGTTGATCTGGGCCTGGGTACGGGCCTGTGCCTCTTCTAATGTTAGCAGCTTTGTGGATGGAGAGGGCACCAACAAAGATTTAGGCCGAGACAAAGAGTTGTGTCCTACAAAGACAAAGAAACGTGTGATGAATACATAGCAATATAAATTTTTTTTAAATATCTGTCAATATTTAATCTGTCCATATTGCATACCTGTTCCCTCTCGTATAAGTGAGCTCAGTTTGGGGCTAAAGAGAACATCCACATGGTTGAGGATGAACTCCACCACAACCGACTGTATTCGCACCTCCATGAAGGCTGCTGTGCCGCTGAAGCAAGCCGATTCTATTTGCTTTGACCTTTTTAGTTGAGAATAAAAATCAAAGATTAGTTATGAATACTAGGTTTTTATATTCATAGTTATAAAATTGTATCCATAAGTATCTGTTTTCACAAACATTACACTTGCATCATGCAGAGATCTTACCTAAGTAAGTTGGGGGCCCAAACGATGGCCAAATTCTTCGTATGCATGTTTGTTACATAGCTGAAGGTTGCTAAGTGTGAAAGATGCCTCATAAGAAACTCAAAAGTCCTACAAGAGAAGCATGAATATTTAACGTTAAAACTACAGTAAATGCAGGAGAGTCGAAAAATGTTGAAAAGAGGACTGCAAGTCCTATAGCAACCAGCAGAGGGCATTGTGGTCATTTACAAACCTATAGTGCGGAGGCGGCAGCTGCTGAATGACATCATGTATTTTGATCAGCCTCTCCTCATCTGTGGCTGCTGACACAGCCTCCTAAAAAGGAGAAGAGCGGGTGTAAATCAGGGTCACTGCATCTAGAGCAACTCTAACCAACAAAAATACTCTTAAACCCATGTTCACACTATACTGCTGAGCGGACAAAAGCTCATGGTCAATCACATTTCCTGTGCATTATAGTTTCACTGCTTCCATAGCAACCTGAAAACACTGATGCGCTCTTTACTCTGGCTGTTTTCATTTGCAGGGACTTATCTCCAGATGCTGTAAATGTCAGTGCTTTGTTTGGCATGCAGATGAACTCTGTGAAGCAGGGCTCTAATAGACAAGCAATTCATTTTGTATACTCATTAAAAGCAATCAATACAACAAATAGCCTAAAGCCTTCATTGACTTCTGCGCTGTTTTGCCAGTCTCAGATAAGAGACCCACGCATATTATCACACCAAGAACTAAAAAGGTTTTGATATCATAAGTATGGACTGGCTGTTCTAGTATAATAGGTGCTCTCAGCTGGAGCTATTTGTATGACAAAGAGTGTGTGAGTTCGAGAAAAGGCTCTTTATAAGGTCTGTCGTTCTGGGATAAATGCTTACCGAGAATTTCTCATACAGCTGGTAGGTGAGAAGTGGGTTGGGAAGCTCTCGAAAGTAAAGCTTGCACAGGGAGCCCACGCAGTGTATGTCTTGAATGTAAACATCTTTTGTCAGATCTGGGATCTGTTCAGAGTCAAATTCATGCCTAAAGTGAGAGAGAAAGAAAGTGCTTGATGTATTCAAATAATCTCACAGTAGGCTACTTGGTGTGCTTAAAACCTGAATTTCAACCAATTTGGATGAAATTACATTATCTTCTAATATCTTATAACATTTGAAATAACACGAACAATTTTGGTTTTCAGTGGTCGATGCCGATGAACAAGTTAATTATTTTATTCACCAAGGATGCATTCAATTGATCAGAAGGGACAGCAAAGACATTAATACGGTTACAAATTATTTCTATTACAAATAAATGCTGCTCTTTTGAACTTTCTATTCATCAAAGAATCCTGAAAAAATGTATCATGGTTTCCACAAAAATCTTAAGCAGAACTATTTTCAACGCTGATAATAATAATAAGAAATGTTTCTTGAGCACAACATCTGCATATTAGAATGATTTCCATAAGGATCATGTGACACTGCCACAACTGCTGCTAAAAATTGAGATTTTCCATCAAAGCAATAAATTACATTTTAAAATATATAACAATGGAAAATAGTTATTTTAAATTGTAATATTATTTCACAATATAACCGTTTTTACTGTATTTTTTAATCAAATGAATGCAGCCTCAGAGAGCATAAGAGAATTATTTTAAAAACATCTGAAAAAATCTTACAGACCCCAACCAAACTGGTATGCTAGTGTGGCATCTACATAAAATGCAGAAAAGTAAAAAATAACATAAATTATAAAAAAAATATATTATGTTTTAAGTTTATCCAATGACATGGCTGTACATGGGGGAGGGAAAATTTGTTAATCTGTCAACTTCTTCTGGACCTGGTAATACCCCACCCACCTACCTAATCTCTCTGGTGAACTAATTTTCTCCTGTATTCAACAATACAAACATTCCCATTATGAAATGTAATTATCAGCAGCTTAATATTCAGCCACTGCATTCAGAGTTTCTCAAGCAGTATGATAAATCTCTATCTTTGCTACTTGCAATTAGGGGAGTGTGTTTATGTCCTACCGCAGTTTCTGAATGTTGGAGGCAATCCCAGAGAGACGGTACATTCCATCAACCACTCCATGCTTCTCAATGAACTCAGTGCAGCTCTTGAGTACCTGGGGGACTAGAGGTTTATACAAAATGTTACTGGAGCATCCTTTTTGGCACGTAAAGTGTGAGAGTTGTCAAAATGCCAATGGAATAGAATGCCAGATTCTTTGTGCAGTAAATTTCCGATTTTGTAAGGTATAAATAACTTTAACAACTGCCAGAGACAGTCCCGATCGTCAGATAACAAGCCCAGGCTCTCCTGTATAAGCAGAGTTTTTAGCTTCACATTTGCTCCAGTGGCATCAGACAAACTCCAGACCTCTAATGCGACCTTGCAATGTTTCACCCAGAGGAATCATAGTCACAGACAACCCTGACTGGCCTCTAGTCTTGACAAACTTTATCCGGCAGATGAGTGAGTCCTAGACGTTCAGAGGCAGCTGTTCATCTACATTCCTGACATAGCAGTCTGAAGCACAAAATCCTCAAAAATGCAAGACCATTTTTGTCTCTAAGCCATCTCAAAAATCTTTCAATCAGTGCTTCACAATAAGGATGGCCTGTGGTCATTGTGAGTGTTTCAGGCCAGTTAATGTAGCTGTCATTTGCCCTATAAGGCCAGTAATACATTCTTTATATCTTACAGTATGTTCATTGATCACGCACATGGGTTTTTATGCTTTGCACACATATACATTTGGTTTTCTGTGATTCTGTGTTGTTAATTCTCCTGATTTAAATACATGACCCAGCTAAAGCTGTCTAGCTGGCAAACATAGATAAATTGACAAAACTGAGAATGATTTGTGATATTCTTGGAAGCATCAGTCTGAATGGTTTAAAAATGACAAATCACAATGTTTTTTTCCTGCAAAAGTGTAAATTATAAAAAGGTAAATTATAGCTGTATAACTTCCAGTTGTTCGTGCAAATTATAAACCTAGTAATTTGCTATAAATATAACAAAAAAACAAAACAAATACAGTACCATTCAACTGTATTTGTAGTTTGGGGTCAGTAAGGTTTATGAAAAAATGCATGAAAAAATTATCTTGGGCCCACCAAGGTTGCAATTATTTTATATATAAAAAATACAGTAAAAATAGTAATATTGTAAAACATTATTACAAATTAAAATAACTGTATCCTATTTTAATATATTTTAAAATGGAACATTTTCCTGTGATGGCAAAGCTGAATTTGTGAAAAATTTCTTATTACTGATTTTGAAAATAGTTGTATGCATCCTTGCTGACTAAAGGATTAATTTCTTAAAATCTTAGTGACCCCCTACTTTTGAATGGTTTGATTTTTTGACAGATTTTTTAACCCTTTCAATACTTTGAAAAATGCAGCAAATTCTTTCCTTGTGGCACTAAAAGAGAAAGGAAAAAAATGTGTTTTGCTCTCTAGCGAAATACTGTCCAAGAGTATAATAAGTGCATTGCAGGGAGGTTTGCAGAGCTTTATGTTAATATGACTGATCCATTCTAATGACTCTCTACTTGAACAAAGTGTTTAGCCATCATCGTCTCACGTTCCTCTGAGATCAGAGCGTCTGAGATGGAGTATACACATTCTGCCATTACCCATTTTACTAACACATTAAAGCTGAGCGGGCTCATAGGTAAGAGAGGACAGTGAAGGGAGCGAAAGATTCAGACCTTGGTAGTAAACCTAAATTTTATCATCTATCTAACCAACTACAATGGATGACCTTTTGTAGGAACACATTTTTAAAGAATACCAGGCATTTCTGCTTTGAGGATACTTGCTCCTGAGGGAAAGAATGTCCATTCTTCATTTAATAAAAGCAATGTCCCCCCCCGTCTAAAAGTAATGGTCGCACAGTCGTACTAAGTTGTGTGGATCCCTTTTGAAAAGGACAAGGCTTAGATTTTAAGGCAGGCAATGGCTCAGGGAGGATTTGAAGTCAAACAAATGGAGCAAATGCTGAAGGCTGCCAGGGAGCTCTGAATCAATGGGGAAGAAATCTCCAGACACGGCCCCCTAACCATTCCTCCTGACCTTTAGACCGCTTTAAGCCAATCAGATGCCATGGCAACCCATGCAGCCAGATCCAAGGGCTATTCTAGAGAAGGAGGGTTAGCTATGCTTTCCAGCCCACCCACACAGTCTCACATTAGTGTCAAGCACCTTCTGGAGCATGAGCATGAGTTTGAGTAGGACTAGAAGGGGGCAAAGCTCACCGTCATGGCTGGAGTTGAGGAGATGTTCTCCTAGGTCACAGCCGAACACCCTCTCCCTGAGGATACCTCTTTGCTTCAGCTTCTGCTTGGTCGGCCTGGACTTCATGAATGTGCGTAGAAAAGTGATCAGTTTCCCGTGTTTCTTGGACACTGAAAGATAAAAATGAAAATACGCAAATTTTAAAAACTGCACTGTGAATCACAAGCAGCGCAACAATAAATGACCCCAAGAAAATCCGGTTTAACAACAGGCCAGTGCCAGCCACATCATGTCAGCGAGCCAAGATCTTATGAAATGAAGAAAGCAAATACACTCGGTTGTGTAAGAATAATGGGTTTATGCATTAACCCTGTTCCTTTACTAAAGGAATTTCCCAAATCCTACATTGTAAGCGGTTTCGTCAACCGAGCAGAATTATTAATTCACTCAAATTCGTGAGGGACGTACATCCTCCATCTCTGGGTGTTTGGTCTACATTTGGTAGAGCAAAATCAAACCACTTCATTCTCTATGGATCAATGCAACTGTTATAGAGGCGCAAGTACAGTAGCATATAATCAACTATGAATTTTACAAGTTTAATCTAAAAGCTCAGCACTGGAAGAGAAAGCCTGAAGATGAGTGGCTGACATACAACATCTGTGAAAGTCATCTCATGAAATAATTAACTGTTGAATGAATTAACATTCATTTAAGTTTTGAATGAGGCCAAGCAAGAAGGACATCTCAAGCTGTTTGGTCTTCGGAGCAGCTTGCATTGTTATTACACCCTGACACTAACCACCATACCCCAAAAAAATGATTTCAGCAGCCTGACCTAGAATTTGCATGAGAAACTCTTGGACGATACAGCGGAAAAGTATCAAGAGAGAAATTCCAAGGATTTGACAGGAACACACAAACGCACCAAAATAATTCCACTGGATTTGCTATAAAACCCAGAGTCCTGTATTGCAATTGCTCATTTAACTGGGATTGTTTTCAATGTTCCTCATAAAATATTAGCAAGCTTAAATATTCCGAACCAATTAACTGTTTGCATAATGAAGCTGTATGAATCAGCAAACAATCTGTTGCCGGAAACAACTTCAGAGCTGTTACAAATGCAGCTGGGATTCCTGAAAACCACAAACTGGTCCATCTGTGTTTATGTTTGTGGGCACATGTGGTGGATTTAGCAGGAGACGGAGTAAAAATAATTAGCAAAATAATTGCAAATATTATTTTAACAGTTTAACTCCCTGGTGATTTTAAGGATGTATGATTCTTTGCACGCTGAAACCACAGTGGACGTGGCAAGGCGGCATCTGCCAGCTGTGATTTCATCTGTTCCTTTGCGTGTCTTTACCTTATAAAAAGGCACATTACTCACAATTTTTCATTGTATAGGGTATCAACATTTATCCAACAATCAGTTACAGCTGGTCTGAATGCAATTAATCCTTTCATATCCAGTCAAGGTTAATCATGAAAAGAGCCGTTGTAGGAATTTCCTGTTCTACTTTTCAAGAGCCAATAAAAGTAACTGCCACACATTTTACAGATCTTCTTATTACGAACTCCACAACAAACCAAGCACAGGGCATGTGCTGAAGTTCACAGACGCAGCAAGAAGATCTCCGTGTTACTAAAGAATGAGTGTTTCCTCCAGGCTGCACTTTACCTCCGCTGAGGAGACACTGATGACGTTACAGCACAACGTGACTGACACACAATACGTATTTCTTTTTTTCCCTCCAAATCAACGCTCTCAACTTGAGTTTCCAATGACTTGCCAAAAATTGTAATCATAAAATAACTTACTTATGACTTAAAATATGACTTTGCTACACAAATCAGAATACACCAAATCTACAGAGAAAGGCGATTAGAACAAAGTCAACAAAATGCATTTATCACAAATTAACACCAGTGAGCAAATATTTTAAATGCCATTGATTTTGGCAGTGCAAATGACTAAACCCTAGGTAATTTACACACAAATTTGGCTATAGAAAGCACTTCAGTCGCATATACAGGTCTGAGATAGTTTAGCAACTTTATTAGCACTAAAACGGCAACTTCATAACTTACCTCAATATGAAATATCCATGAAAAAAGGGCAGAAAAATGGTGTTTGAGTATTCTTAAGTTTGCCAGGCAGCAGCTGCTGAAAAGAGCTCAAGACACAACGGTGAAGGATCATCACAGACCACACTCTCTCTCTCACTTTCCCTGCCAGCCGGTAAAAGCTAATAGTCAACATGCATTCTTCCTCTTCGCTTTTTCCCTCCTCTCTTTCCTTTCAGAGTTTGTCCAGCCCCTAATATCAACTTTCAACAGCGCTGGCTTCTAACTGCAGAGATCGGGGTGTGAGGAGCCACGCAATCCAGAGAACGACAGTTTCAGCCTGTAGGCTGTTGCATTTATCAGATATACACTATCGAGTGATGAATGTGCTTTGAAAGACAATGGCAATACAACACAACTGTCTCCTGTGATGTTCTATTTAGGCTACAGCTTAATTACGACTTAGTAAAACTACAACAAATCAAGAAGCCAGACGAACATAAATATAACTCATTCGACTACACCACCAGGGCAACAACAATGCACTCTTTCTAAAGAAACCCATTCTTAGCCAAGCCCATGTTCCATTCAGCTTTTACAACCCAGACTGACATGGTAGAGCCATAAGGAACTGACAAAGACAAGCTTGTCTGCACTCTAAAGCAAGAGGTTTGTGGCCAAACTGTCAAACAACACACATATACGTGTTTTGCAAGGTAACACTGGTGTTAAATGGACAATAAAAGTAAAAACATTTATAAATAAAAAGTTGTAACATTTTTGACATTAATGCATCGTTGCTAAATTACAGTATTAATCATACTGACCCCAAACTTTCTAAAGGTAGTGTCTATACATAATGATACCACTACTAATAATAAAACAAAAACACTAAAACCATTACGAGAGTTAGTAGGAATGTGCACGAGTACAACAAACACCAATAAAATTGTTTCCCAACCCAACAGCTAACAGAAGTTCACATAAATGTCTCTGTTTTCAGAACAGACCAGTAAGGAAGTACACAATCCCCTGTAGGACAAACGGACACATATTGCTGTGTAAACCTTATACAGTTTGTCTCTCGTTCTCTCACAGCTCCTTCCAGCTGTCTTGGCTTGTTCACAGAGGCAGCTGCCCCTTACTCCACTGAGAGGAAGACATTGTTGCCCCACAAGGAAGTTAGGAAGTGAGAGGGAGCTAAGGGAGCTACATCTGGAGCAGCACCTGCTACAGCTGAGAATAAGGGAATGACATAAATGCAGTTTTGGTCTGTGAATGTGAAAGTGTCTGTACATGAACAAGAAATTATCACACTTCAGGCATTTTCAGAACACACAATATGCCCTATTCATGCTCGAAAACCTTGGTAAATAAAATATTACAGCAACCTTTATCACTGTTACACCACCTGCATGATAGGACATTATGTGGTTAACCATTTACATGGGGCATTTGCTTAATGAGGTGAATGATTCATAAGGCATTTAGTGTTGTTTGATAGGTGATTGCTGCTCGGCTAAAGCTCTACAGGGGAGCAGGGAGGTATGCTGTATTTGAGCATGTACAAAGGCAGTACACAAGAATATGTTTGAGTCACCATGGAGAGACTGTAGTTCATATTGTCAGTGGACAAAGTTGGGATTATTTTATAGCCTTTCCTAACCAGGGTCATGTAAATCAGCCCAGGAGTGTGTTGCAAAATAACTTCACAATAGGGCTTTCTGGAAAACACAATGAGGTGCCCTTAAAAGAGCAGTGGAGCAGTGCCATAAACTGATGTCACAAGCTTCATTTCAAATACAGACACATTAAGTGTAGACATAGTCAAATAAGTAGAGATGCAATGATAATTTTCAGTATCGGCCAGAATTTTCATGTTATGGATGACAAGCAATAAATAACAGACATTAAAATTCTGTTCTATTTTGTCTGCATAAATTAAAAATAAAACACTAAAAACTAAAATCAACTTAAATGATTCATGATTTCAGACATCACAACATTATAGCGCACAGTATGAAAATTTGATTTTTTTCTTCTTTTTTTTTTCTTAATTTAAAGTGCCCGTTTATTGGTGGCAAAGATGATCTAAATGTAACAATAGGGATGAGTATGAGCAGACTTTAAAATTCTATACTATTTAAATATATTTAAAAAATCTTATTAATGTATCTTATAAATTAATTACATTAGCATTTTTAAAGATACATTTTAAGCGAGCATTTAATGATGGCAAAAACAATCTAAATGTAAAAATAGGGGAAATGAGCATGTACAATTAAATATCCAAAACTGGCCAATACTGATGATCTCTAATATTGTTTGAGAGCCGATATAGTGTCTACACATCATGCATCTCTACAAAAAGAGACAATCTAGCAGTATTAAAGTAAAATAAAATGCAAAAACATTGCTAAACAGAAACATGCATTCAAATGCAGGTCAAAAGAGAGAGAGAGAGTGCTATCAGGGTAAATCTATAAGACAAGGGTCAAAGTCACATTCTAGAGACACCAGAAGAGTGTTAAGTGGAAAAACAAGACTATTTGTTGTGCTTGCATCAAATCTTCATATAGTTAACACATGATGTTAGGAAAGACCAGTGAAACTACATTCTAAAGCTATGGAGTGCAAGTAGTGTTCAGAGCACTCGTGAATGGCAGGCGACTGTGCAGAGATGCACAGGAGAGTTCGGGGTTAGTCCGTGCTAGACGTAGTACGTGGATAAACAATTTGGTCTACCTGAGCTCAGCCTGTAGGGGTTTAATGGGTCGGGTGCCCATGCACTGTCCTGCTTTACACTCTCCATCTCCAAATCTGCACGCCGGGAGGAGAGAAGGGGAGAGGGAGGAAGGGACCCAGTTAGAGAACATGAGAACAGCAGCTGCACATGCAGCTCTATTAGCTTAGCAGTCTTTCAGGAGAGTTTTCCCTTCACTCCACATTTCCTGTCCATTAGGAAAGTTTTACAACAGTTCTGAGGCTGCTATAAATGATAACAAACAAGATGGTGCAGTAAAATGCAAATGAAGACACATTAGACTAACATGGATAAGAGTGTTCTAAGATGCAGTGCAAGAGAAACACTGTTTTATGATTCTGCCAAAGGACAACTTATGCATGTAGGGAGACAGTATGATAAAAGAATGATAGTGATAAAATGTGCCTTAAAGTGATAAAGTGTGTGTGTGTTTGTGTGTGCCTGAGAAAAAGAGAGCAGGAGATGGAGGGTGTGCGACTATATGTATGTTTGTGTTTAAAGGGATAGATAACACAAAAATTAAATGGTCAGCATTTACTTGGCCTTATGTTATTCCAAACCGGTATGCTAACCAGTCTCTTTACAAAACAAAACAAAACAAAATATTTTAAAGAAATTAAAAATAAGACGGTAAAAAATTAAATAAAAAGAAACCAAAGAAACTAACCAGCGTCAAAAATAAAGGGAAAAAAATAATGATAATAAAAATAAAATATATCCATGCTCCATGTAGAAAAAAGTCATATGAGTTTGGAACAACATGAAGGTGAGCACATTAACAGATTGTTTATTTTTGGGTGAAATAGCCCTTTAAGTTAAAGCTGCAGTCTGTAAATTTTGCCTCTTTGTCGCCATCTCTGTTTGAAAACCTGGAATTGCAGTTACTTGCGGAATTATCTAGCTTGCGTGGGTTGTACTGTGGCACAACTCCAGCGCGGATAAATCTAATGTTTTGAGGAGTATGTGTGGCAGTCAGTCACCGCACCGGTGTGGATATTCACTGTACTTTGCAATAACAGATTCTAGTCTACGTCTTGGAATATATGACCCAAATAAGAATTTCACCGTATATTTTCATCTGAACAAGTAACAAGTCTGCCACGTTTGTTCTATGTTTTGAGGAGTATGTGTGGCAGTCAGTCACCACACCGGTGTGAATCCTATACTTAGTAATCACAGATTCTAGCCTACGTCTTGGAATATATGATTCAAATAAGCATTTTCACCGTATATTGTCATCTGACCAAGTAACAAGTCTGCCACGTTTGTTCTGACCAACTGAGGAAAAAAGCATTACAATAAATCACGCTACCAATGGTGATTTATTCTAACGATCGATTAGATCATATCACATCAAACCGTGCAAATTATTATTATTGTTATACTTTATTCTCAGATTATTAATGTTAACAACATCAGTATTGCCTGACTATGAGTATAGTGTGTATTAGCGTGTAGATTTCAATTTCTGCAGTCTAATCTCTAATTGTCATACCATTTGAATTTCATACCAAGAAATTATTTTAACCCAAAAAGCAAACTATGCTCCCTTCGAACTGGTTGTCTTTAAAATACAAATCTTGTGTAATCCCAGGCTATCTGTAATCAGAAGCACATTTAAAACTGGAATATAATTTAATTTCATTCACTAGTGTTTCATATAATCCTTTCTGGATTACAATCCGCCATCAAAATTATTTTTTGACATTTAATAATTCTAGCTGCTGTGAGAAAAGTCTATAAATGATCCGCCTGCTGCAGCATCCTCACATGCAATAGCCTAGCAGCCGGGACAACTTCTTTATGTTTACAGAAGTGACTTAATGATGCAGCGGCATGCTCGAATTTCCCACGAAAACCTACCCGTACCACTCAAATTAGAAAACATTATTATTAGCTGACCGTTGTGAATCGGGCTAAAGTAAGGCGATAATTTTGAACACTGGCTGGTTATGTACTTGCTCAAATATTGATTTTAGATAAATTTTAACCAAAAAAAAGTTACGGACTGCAGCTTTAAAAAGGGAGGGATTGGGGAGAGTATACCAGCACGCACAGGGTGGGAACAGACTCCAGGAGGCCGGCCGCAGACCAGAGCAGGGAGACACTGAGGGAGCAGTGGAGGAAGCATGGTCAAATAACACATCGCACATGCATGCATTAAGTGCAAAGCAATGCAACATACATTCCAAATACAGTGTCACCACAGAGTCAGTAGATGTAGAAGCAGTAAAAAATAGAGCTAAGCCCCAGGAAAAAGCTTCTGCATAGTCAAAGCTAATAATATAAACTTTGTTAAAGTATAAAGCACAAAGCAGAGCAGCGCTGCTTTGTTTAAAGCCACCTGCTGTCAGAGAGTGAATTTGCATCTCATTCAGCCCGTCTGCTGATTCCGTTATGTTTTATGTAGCATAATTCCACAAAGCCAAAGTCAGACCATTCTGTTTTCAGAGTTTAATTTAAATCAGAAACTGCTAAATCTACATCTTTGTTTGGATCATGATTAAAATGCAGTGGTTGACTCTAATTTTTAGTGGCTACAGCTCTGCCCATAATGCAGCAAAAACATATTTTTCATGTACCCATATTGTAATTCTTTCTCAATTCTCTTGCTTAAAACAAAATAAATATTTAAAAAAAATCAGCAATCGTATCAGAATTGGCTCATTTGCTTGTAAAAAAATGGCAATCAGAATCGTCCATAAATAATCAAGATCAGTGCTGGACATCTTTGACCATTGTGCCTCATTTTATTCTACTGTCCTACAAAAAAATAATAATAATCATAATAATTTTTGTGAACAATCCCTTGGACTCTTATATATCCTATACATATCTATATAATATATTTCCAGACTCTCAGTTAGTTTGCCATTGATACAATCAGCTGTGCCATTATTTATTACATTTACTTGTAATTTTGATACTTAAGTACTTTTCATATCAGTTACTTTAATACTTTTACTTAAGTGTTTTTCTTATGAGAAACTTCAACTTTTACTTGAGTCAATTTCCATAAAGGTATCTGTACTTTTACTGAAGTATGGCAATTGGACACTTTATACAACACTGTTTGCAATGATATTACTCCCAAAAGACGATGTGTACCACAGAACCCTACCACCCACCCACTCCAAGCCAGCATTCTGATTGGTCCGATGAGTCATGATAATGATTCACCCCTCTGCTGATGCCAATAAGCATTGATTGATACACAATATGGCTAAAACCAAACAGAAACGGCTGTAGGTGATGGACAAGTCTCCGGACAGCTTGGCAGCCCAGTTAGTCCAAGTTATGATGTAAACTGAACTCTCATAAAGCAGTCCACATGGTCCACAGCCACTCCAAACATGACTAAATGTATTGCTCTTGTTAGGATCGTGAAAGCTAGCAACAGTCCATTTGAGATTCTATTAATCAAGTTGTTTCTTTTGACGTTTCAGTGCTCGGCAAGTGAGATATTCTGTAAATAGAGGGACTAAATCGTACCATTCTGTACCACAGTGTGTGACGTACATTAAAGGCACATACACACTCCCCAACAAACCATTAGGAGTAAAATGAGGCAAAGCAAACAACAGTGCAGATTCAACTACGAATATAATAAATTAAGAGGGTCAAAGGGTTTCTTCGTGAGGAGGGAGGAAAAAAATGTAGACTGGGTGTGATCCACAAATTACCCATGCAGCGTGTTGGCGACGAGCTATGAAATCTGAAAACCTTGCATGTCTCACACCCAATTTGTTGAAATCTGAAGTGACACTTTCTTAAAAAGCAGCTGTGCCCTTCCCAAGGACGGCAGGCTCTAAAACATCAAATAGCAGCTTGTAGTTTTCTCTTCATGGAGGTTTGAAGATCTGTGATTCATGCAACAGGACCCAGAGGCTCCACTCAGCACCTGTTCCAGTTCACTCAAGTACACACACCAAACAGATTTGATCCATGGCTGATTCAACACGTCACTTAGTATACACTTTGTTCCAATCCACTCTCTCTCTCTCTCAACATGATTATTAACAATATCTCACTGCAAGACACGAGTAACGAGCTAGCCTTCAAAAACCTGCATCTTTTCATGCCTCAGGAGGAATCTGAATGTGTATGAGCAGCAAGTGTGACCTTGCATTAGGTTTCCTGATGATGTTTGCTGGGTTGCTGCTGTTTAAAATGCCCTGCAGTAGAAGTAAGCTGTTATGGGATGGTTAATACAGACGTGAGCAGATGAACTGATGAGCTGTCCCAGCAGGATTTGAGGTATGAGTGTGTTTTGTGGTACCTGGCTTTGGCACTGAGTTGGTAACAGACTGCGGGACCTTGTCGTTTATCAGCTCCACACACTCGCTGGGAAAGAAGCCAACCTGTGAAGAGCAGAGAAGGTCTGAAAAGCTCCTTCTCTCTTTGGAGACAGACATGCCAAGGCTTCATCATATCACTCTACGTTCTGCTCTGCTTCTGGTCATATTCAGAAAATGTCATGTTACTGTGTCATAACACAACATATAACTCTGCTAATACACTGTAATAATTCTTCAAGAGACAAACTACTAAGCTAATGAAAAAAGTGACTTTTGAAAATTCTGTGATATTTACTGCTAGATTATATTGATACTGTTTTTTGATCACAACTAGAGGTTTCTAAAAATGCAGCCCTATCTCATTTAATTAATGCTAATATTTTGAGCCCCTGGAGTGATCAAGAAGTGTACAGCACAGTAAAAACAGGCATATATTAGTTGGCATCAGCACATCTAGAATGATTTGTAACTCATCTAAAAGAGCTGAGAAAATAATAATATTGTCAGACTCTGTTCCATGTTTTGTGTGTGTCTTGCTCCCCATGTGCCTTCCCATGCCCATATTTGGTTAGTTTCCTGTTCCTGTCCTGATTAGGTTTATTTGATTCCAGGTGTTCCCCATTTTATGTCTATTGATCCCAGGTGTGTCTCGTCCTCTCCTCATCCTGTCGTGTTCCCTGTGTGTGCTCCAGCGTCCGGTATTGTATATGAATGTTCATGTTATGTATTGCGTGAGTGTTCCTTTGTGTTAATTAAACCCCTTTGGATTAATGTACTCCTCATCTCTCTCTCTCCGTTCCTTGCTCCTCAGTCTGCTCAGCAGTGAACCCGTGACAAATATACACTAGCGTTCAAAATTTTGGGGGCATTTTTAAAAGACGTCTTAATCTTACCAGGGGTGCATTTATTTGATCAAAAATACAGTAAAAACAGCAATAATGTGAAATATTATTTCTATTTAAAATAACTTCTATTCTGATGCATTAAAAAAATTATTTATTTCTGTGACAGCAAAGCTCAATTTTTAGCAGCTATTACTCCAGTCTTCAGAGATCAATCAAAAATGCTGGTTTGGTGCTCACAAATATTTTGTATTATCATCAATGTTGAACACAGTTTTTTTCCTTAACATTTTTGTGGAAATAATGATACATTATTTCAGGATTCTTTGATGAATAGAAAGTTCAAAATAATAACACTTATCTGAAGTATAAACATCTTATTGACCCCAAACTTTCTGTACTTTTTTTTGTACTTGAATTGTATTGTATGCAAACTTAAGTTTGGGCCAGTGCTATATTGCCACTGAAAATATTACATTAACTGATCTATTTGCATGACTGCAAATGCTTGCAATTTTCTGTGATACATTCTACATTGTTCTTGCTGATTATGATGATTTGATACCAGGACTATAAGGGATGCCAGGAGAAAGTTTAAGCATTTTTTTATATGAATATATGGCTTTCATATCAAGGAAAAAAATCTCTGAAAACAAGGCTCATACATTTCAAGGCTGCCTGACTTATAAATCGCCAGATAAAAGCACCTGAAAGAAGATTCAAAGTTCATTAGTCTCTCTTGCACCAACATGAACAAATTAAAGGACACACAGAGCCAAATGTACATGTTTGCCATGTTTTACAACCTAAAATTTGATTTGATCATTCTTTCACCTACTATCCAACTGCAGATTTATGAATCCATGACATGAATTAAGTTGATGACAAAAGACGAGGTTTTCTGTAACATATGAGCTTATCTTGCAGAAAACATTAACCATGCCTATTAGTATAACATTGACTTTGTGACCAATCACAGACCTTTAAAAAAGCTCAGTCTCTTCTACACTAGAGCTTGATTATGACTCTGACGTTCCCTGAGACCCTGCTGACATCAGTGTGTGCTGATTCTCGTGGTGACAGCTGGCATTGCAGTGCACTCTTTTCCCATGCAGACAGATGCTGGCTACCTGACCCAGCTATAGCCTGCCAGAGCTCAGTGTCAGACTGCCCCCCGATGGATCCAGCACACATCTTCCACCATGAACCCTACAAAGGCCCTAGCTGTGACTCACTGGAGAGGCAGAGAGCCCTGAATAGCAACAGGGCCAAACAAAGGCGGCAATGCTGGGCATATGCTTGTGAAGCAATAAGAGAGCACAGTTTGGCAAGTTGGCAGAACATAAAGTGACTCACGAGTGGGTCTATGTACCCATACACACAAGGGTGAACGATGAGCCAAAGTCATCTATTAAACTGGACTGGATTCTATATTTTACACTGACAACTGAGTCATTTTGTTATTCATATTTGGTAATATGAGAAATGACACAGCTTGTTTTTGATACTTTACTAGGTGGTGACAAAGTATTTATAAAAGCATTTACCAAATGGATTAAGAAAAGCAATGTTTTTTTTATGTAACAATTAAAAAATATTGTTACAATTAACTACAATTTTAAACAATTTAAATGTATATTTGATGATATGAAAAGTGATGTATTCAAGTATAACATTTAACTATCATTTTAAACATGAATCAATTTAATATTTACATGTTTGTCAGTTTGAAAAGTGTTTTATTAATGTATTATTTTAGATTGTTGCATTTTTAGATGTAAACAATTTTAAACGTAAATGAAAATTTCATTTACAGTATGCCATTCATTTACATATTTAACTTATATATATGCACTTAACCGTCAGTTGCTCGAGAGGGACTCTACCTGCAATTTCTAAACTGCCATGTACACTTGAAATAGAGAGCTAAATCACACGGAACAAACCTGGAAACCATGTTTTCCTCTCCACCAGGTGGTGTCCTCTTTGGGTGGCATGTCTATTACAGAAACAATATCCCCCACCTGAGAGACAGAGAGAGAGAGAGAGAGAGAGAGAGACAGAGACAGAGAGAGAGAACAAGGGTGAACGATGAGCCAAAGTCATCTATTAAACTGGACTGGATTCTATATTTTACACTGACAACTGAGTCATTTTGTTATTCATATTTGGTAATATGGGAAATGACACAGCTTGTTTTTGATACTTTACTAGGTGGTGACAAAGTATTTATAAAAGCATTTACCAAATGGATTAAGAAAAGCAATGTTTTTTTATGTAACAATTAAAAAATATTGTTACAATTAACTACAATTTTAAACAATTTAAATGTATATTTGATGATATGAAAAGTGATGTATTCAAGTATAACATTTAACTATCATTTTAAACATGAATCAATTTAATATTTACATGTTTGTCAGTTTGAAAAGTGTTTTATTAATGTATTATTTTAGATTGTTGCATTTTTAGATGTAAACAATTTTAAACGTAAATGAAAATTTCATTTACAGTATGCCATTCATTTACATATTTAACTTATATATATGCACTTAACCGTCAGTTGCTCGAGAGGGACTCTACCTGCAATTTCTAAACTGCCATGTACACTTGAAATAGAGAGCTAAATCACACGGAACAAACCTGGAAACCATGTTTTCCTCTCCACCAGGTGGTGTCCTCTTTGGGTGGCATGTCTATTACAGAAACAATATCCCCCACCTGAGAGACAGAGAGAGAGAGAGAGAGAGAGAGAGACAGAGACAGAGAGAGAGAGAAGAGAGAAGAGAGAGAGAGAGAGAGAGAGAGAGAGAGAGAGAGAAATCAACAAGAATTCACATAATAACCAAAATTAGTATGGCAATCACACATCTTCAAAAAGAGAGAGAGAGAGAGAGAGAGAGAGAGAGAGAAATCAACAAGAATTCACATAATAACCAAAATTAGTATGGCAATCACACATCTTCAAAACTGCATTAATCTGTCTTTATTTTTATTCCAGTAACCTCAAATGACAGCTCATCAGCTGCCTGGGCAATGTAGCGCTTGATCACGTGGGCCGCTGCGATAGCTGGAACATTTATGGATGACTCCTCATGCACCAGCAAGTGATTCCCTTTGTTGTCAACCTGAAGAAAGAGATAAATATGACACCCCAGCTAATGGCAGCATTGAATATATGTTCAGTGAACATCCCTCATCCTCACTGATTATTCAAGTGAATAATCAGCTATCTCTGCTCAAATGGTATCAAATCAGTACCTCCATCCATGTGAGGGCCGGCCCACAGTTGATCTTATTATCAGCAATCGCTGAGAGACGGGAGAGGTAAGCCATCAGCATCTGGGAAATTGCCTGTAGGGAGAAAGAGAGCGAGAGAGGGAGGGTTAAGGTAGTGTGACAACTTCCAAGGGGGTAATTCTATAAATACAGAGTACTTTTACTGGGAGGTTAAAAGCTCACATAAAACTAAGAATGAATGGTTTGAGTTTGCATACTTTTTCATTAGAGAATGGTAGGGTAGGTGTAAGGAATGCAGCTTTCTGTGTAGAGTTTCGACATAAAACATGCAGAATTAAAAACTCAGCTGCATTTGCATTTCTATACACTCTCTAAAACAATGCTAGTCTCTTCAGTGAAATACGCTGTAAAAGGCTTGGTATACATTTATTTGCGGCATAACAGTTATTGTTTTTTGGAGTGTATGTTCGGTAACTGTGGCTACTTTAAAGGGTTGCAGTTGCACTCTGAGATATAAAATGATCTGGATTATACTTCCACATGGCTTGCATAAAAACGAATATAGCAGGAGGTGAGGTGGAGCTGTCTTATATTAATACAGCTCAAAAGATCAGTCTAATAAAAGAGCTCAACCACATATCGGTTTCTAAAACTTAACATTCTATTTAAACCACATTACACACAGATCAGTCTAAAAAAACACAGTAGTTATAATAAAATGTTCCTAGTGGAAAATAGAGACAGGAGAGTGTCAGCTCATCAGCAAAGAGCTTAATGTTAAAACCTGTAAATTTTGAAAAAGTAATTTCACTGTGGTACGGCACCCAAGCCTACAGAAGCTCTGAAGAAAGTGTTTGTGCGTGTGTGTGCGTGTGCTACAGGATTTTTTAGGCAGAGAAAATTAAAGAGAGCATTTCTTAAATCTCAGCCTGCAAAACTAATTGAAGGTAAAGTTGTTCTATAAAACATCAGCGTGTGGGTTTTCTCTCTGTTTGTGATTCTCTAGAAGACACAAAATGCTCCACATCCGAGTTTGGCCTGCGGCATTTGTTTTAAATGTCAATGCATCTCTGCGTGTATTAAGCTATACTACTGTAAATACAGTCAAGGAAGGTAAAAACAAAATAACTCTTTACTTAATCAAGTTTTCTATGTCTCTCTTTCAGAATAGCTAAAATGAGCTGAAAACAACATTCAAATATGTTGACGCACTTTGCTACAGAATAGTAAAAATGTTTATGTTTATTCAAATATTTCCCCTCAGTCACAGCATATTTGCATATGACACAAATATTGGAGGATAATTTGGCCAAATATAAACAATAACAATGTACACAACATTGCTAAAGGTACACTATCATTCAAAAATTTGAGATCAGTAAGTTTTTTTGTTTTTTTTGGAAATAAATTAATACTTTTATTCAGAATGCATGCATTAAAATTGATCAAAAGTGACAGCAAATATGTTTAAAATCTTACACAAGGTTTCTATTTCAAATAATAGTGGGTTTTTTTTAACTAAGCATTATAGTCACCCCCTTCTAATTAAGGGGTCTGATGCCACATAGTGTATTTAGTATAATATTATATAATATGAAAGACAAGTATTTTGGTGACTGGTGGACAGCCAGTGAACAAGAAAAAATAAGAGCAAGTGATTAAAATGAGCCAATGAAAGCCCATAAGAGTTTATTCACGATCCACAGAGCACTGATGGGATCTGATCCAGCTGAACCTATCCCAAGATCCACCCTCCTGTCAATTCCTTTCCCAGACGTATGCTGGCAGACTCACCAAAATGTAAAACGAAGGCCAAAAGGGGCTGCAAAGGAAGCATAATTAGGTCCAAGAAGACCGAACAGACAGCTGTGAGAACTCTCATGCTCTATACGGCTTCATATATCTCTAAAATCCAAGGCAACTCTGCTTGTGTTGACTATACTAGAAAATAACATGAAGAATGTAGGTAAACAGAAATTGAACAGCGTTCTTTAATGATACGGTCGCTTGCTTCAGTTATTTGCTATGTTTTGTTCATGTGCTAATGAGGCTCATTTGTGTGAGACATCCCACATTTAATGCATAGGCAAGCCTCATAATTATTATATCCTTTGAGGTGTTAGTTCCTATAAATCAGAGTCAGTTAACCTTTTAAAATCATCTCAGGGCTTGTAATACCGAGTTCTCCTTACAAGATTCAGATGCATCTTTACCAAGATCTCTAAATGGCCTCTCTACAAATAAAACTGCACAATCCAACAGATGAAATATGACCTTGGATCTGTTTTCTTGTATTGGGAAGCTCAAAACACCTGATTACACACAAAAACATTGTGGGAGCTTCCACTTAGCAGCTCAAAGAGACTTCCTCTTCTGCAAAACATAATGGGCGGCATTATCAGCCACTCAAATTTCAAAGCAGATCCATTTTACCTGTGAAAATATGGCACAGTTCAAGTATACTACTCTGTGAAACAAATGCTATGTATGCCCAATACAGCAGGAAGAGGAGGTTTTTTTGAACACTACAAGGATATCCATCTGACAGTCTCTCATGGGATGCCATTAGGTGCTGTTAACCAGTCTCACTGAGCACTCACTCATCAGAGATGACTAAAGCTACTCTGAGAGGGGCATCTTGCAGGATAATCACCGTGTATACTGGGTATGAAAGGTCTGACCATTGTGCGTTTACAGGCAGGGGCCTAAAATGTCTCATTGGCCACAAGTAAGTGCTAAAAGAGGAGTGTTTGGGGGTCTTACCTCTGCTCTCTCCCTCAGGCTGTCGAAACGGGGCAGCTCGGGGAGCTGGGAAAAGCGGCGGTCATAGATGCAGAGATGGAGATGCTTATCCAGGACTCGGAAATCTTCATAGCTCCGCCTCACGATCCAGCTTCGTCCCTGCGGGGTGATAAAAGAGGGCCGTAACTTAGAAGGTAAACAAACAAGAGCTAGAGTGTGTTGAAGTTTGGTCTGCAGGGTAAATATGAGGGCTCAGTTCTTGGATAAACCTCATCTGGCCAGTGCAGCAACATGATGACCACACACAATGGCCACTTCAGAGCAGCCACATTACAGCTGTGTGTGTGTTTAATCCTGGACAAAGCAGCATTCAAAGAACTGAGGAGAGGGACAGTGACCACACACTTTTTTTTACAGTTGGGCTAGATTTGCATTTCCTGAAGGAAATACTAATACTTTTAGATAAAGAAAAGAATTTCAGTTTTCTGGAAAAATAATATATGGAACCATGTAACCCAGATTTTTGATAAATGCAAATTCCAATCCACTATGCATTCAGTGGGAGATTTCAAAACTGTATTATATAACTTCCATACAATTATGAAGAAAAAATATTGCATCAGGATAAAGATATGTTAAGTGTTCAGAAAAAAACACTGGCTGAGCTTAAGCAGGCGAGCTCTGGATTTTATCAGCTAATATGAAATAAATTATAAAGGAATGTTACATTTAGGGATGAACGATATTATCGGACCGATATCGGAATAATGCCGAGATGTGTTGCCGATAAGAGGAATATATTAACTTGCATGTGCTCAGGGTGTGCTAGCGATTAGATCACATCAGCAGTGTGACTCATTTTTGAAGCAACATTTTGCCTGAATGGTGATTAGATTCACTACTTTGGATCGCTGCATTTAATCTGTGAATGCACGTAAAGAATGATGCATTTGGTGTGTGATAGCGTAAACAGTAATAGCACATGCAGTAGCAGCAGCAGCGGCAGCCTCCCCCGGGTCCTAATGCCCGTTCTGTAAAGAGTTTTAATTCCGTAGGGCTGTTGGCCTACTTTTAATAAAATGAAAGTAAAATACACAAATTACATTTAGACTGTTTCTGATTAAATAAAGCAGTAG